AAGGAAGTCTCGTTTCTTACCTCCATTTTACCGAAAAGTAATAAGGCACAGAGAGGTTAAGTAGTTTTCCAAACGGCACCCAGCAGTGCCAGGTCAGTCTGGCTCTGACGCTCTGCGTTTTCAAACACCTCACACAGAATCCATGATATAGGGATTCCGGAGGGAGCAGGGGCTGCTAGCGTCTCCCTGTGGAGGGAGATCCTCCACAGTTTAATCCCAGGACTTCCCTCGCATCTAATCTCCACTCTGGCCTTCCCTGGACTCTCGGCTCCACTGTGCTGGGACCTCCACCGTCCCATCCTCTCGCCGAATCTTAGATTTCCCTTCCCGAATGTGCTCAGCCCCGCCCCCACCTCCCAGTCTCCACTCCCACTGTTCTTCCCAGCTAGAATGTTGTCCCCCCCTTCTCTACCCTACAAAATCCCCGTCAAATAAGCAATAATAATAATAATCCTCCTTCGTTGAGCAGAAGCTGTGGAGTGGCTAAAAGCATGAGCTCTGGAGTGTTCTGCCAGGGTTCCACCCAGTTCCACCACTTTTGCTGGCTGTGTGACCTCAGGCAAGTTACTTAACCTCTCTGCACCTCAGTTTCTTCACCTGTAAGATAGAGATAATGATACTCACCTCTTAGGGTTGTTATGGGAAGAAATGGGTTATACAAATTAAAACTAAACAAATAACTTACTTGTAAAGTTTTTAGAAAAGTGTTCAGCACGTAGCGCTTTGTAAATGTTTATTCTTATCATCGAGCGCTTAAAATGTGGACCAGACTCTAAGTCAGATTCCCTGGGTTCACAACCTACCTCAGCTGGTGACTTTGGAAAAGTTATTTACCCTCTCTGGGCCTCAGCTCACATAAAAATTTTAAACTGTAACATGCTTCCCACTTAGGGCGGATGAAAACATCAAGCATAAAGGGCTTAGTGTAGGGCCTGGCACTGGGAACCATGTGAATAGAGAGATCATTAAATTATGAGGATACAGACCCCGGTCACTTTGACCCCACAGCACAAGCATCCAATGACCGTTTGGTGCCACTCAAGGCAGCCTGCCCTCTTCCCCGGCCCCCTGCTCAGCACTGTCTCCCTCTCTGAGCTCCACAGCCCCCTCGGCCTGTCCCATGTCTCAGTGTCACGTCTGCATCACTGTGGCCACCACACGTGGGAAAGCACAAGAGCACAGGCCTGTGCTTGGTCCCCGCTGGATGCTGCAGTTCAGCAGCAACTACTGCGCATACCGCCCCCCGACCCCCGCTCGTTCATTCAGCCGGTCACGTGTTTCATTCAACAACCGAGTGTTGACGCTGGCGAGGTGCCAAGCGCGGTTCCAGCGCTGGGGATCCAAAAGGTGAATAAAAACTGACACGGCCCCCCAGTCACGGAGCTCAGAGCCTGGTGTGGACACAAGCGGTCACCAAGTGGAAGATGTGAGCTGAGGGACACAGTGCTGTGAGAGTGCACGGCACGGGGATTGGAAGGGACCTTTGGGTTAGAGTATCATAAGTGTCAGAGGCCAGCCCAGTGGCGCAGTGGTTAAGTTCACACATTCTGCTTCACGGCCCGGGGTTCACTGGTGTGAATCCCAGGTGCAGACCTACACACCACTTGTCAAGCCATGCTGTGGCGGGCATCCCACATGTAAAGTAGAGGAGGATGGGCACAGATGTTTGCTCAGGGCCAGTCTTCCTCAGCAAAAAGAGGAGGATTGGTGGCAGATGTTAGCTCAGGGCTAATCTTCTTCCAAAAAAAAAGTATTGAGGGGGCTGGCCCCGTGGCCGAGTGGTTAAGTTCGCACGCTCCGCTGCAGGCGGCCCAGTGTTTCGTTGGTTCGAATCCTGGGCGTGGACATGGCACTGCTCATCAGACCACGCTGAGGCAGCGTCCCACATACCACAACTAGAAGAACCCACAACGAAGAATATACAACTATGTACCGGGGGGCTTTGGGGAGAAAAAGGAAATAAAAAAAAAAAATCTTTAAAAAAAAAAAAAAAGTATTGAGTTAGTGGGCGTGGAAAGGGTGCTCTGGCACATGCAAAGGCCCTGTGGCAGGGATGGGAGGGACCGACAGGGCTGCGCTCCAACAGGGATGATACTGGAGGAGTCTACGGGATCCAGATCCTGCCGGAACTTGTTGACCACATTTTGTGGCCAGTGGCTACCATAGTCTAGAGCTGCTAGGCGGTAAAAGGCGTGTTAGGGAGTCAACCTCATTTGCCTCTGCTGATGAGAGGCTGTGGAAGGTCTAGGCAGAGATGAGCAGGGTCGGATTTGTGGCTAGAAAGTTCTCTGGGCTGGCTGTGCAGCTCATGGGTTTTGAGAGAAGGGGGGACCTTTCCATCCTCTCTGTTCTAGGCGTGCCCACTCTCCTGGCTGTAGGGTGAGGAGGGTGGCATGGAAGCCCCGGCTCCACCTAGGCCTCCCCCTCTTTGGGTGAACTTGAGAGCCGGAGGCCCCGGCCACGCTCCTTCCGCTGTGACTCTGAGCTGCTCTTTCCCGGCGAGGCAGGCAGTGGTCCCCAAGCGGGGCGGCCTGGGCTGTGTGTGCGGTGAGCAGAGGGGCTGGGGCCGCTGGGCGAGGGGATGAAGCACCGTTAGCGGTTCAGCCGCAGCCTGCCCGCGAGCGCAGCACCCCCGGGGTCCGCAGGGGCCCCTGTGCGCCCCTTGCCCGCGCCACTGTCCCGCTCACTTCTGTATTTCCCTGGACCCCGGACTCACGCTCGCCTTGCACATTCCGCTGCCCCTAAAGGTCTCTGCCATGTTTCCTCCGACTCTTGGACTCTTCGAGGAGGGCAGGGTGGGGGCTGGGAGGCCCCCAATTTGGGAAGCAGAAGACTGGTCCCAACCCTGTTCTGGTGGCTCTGTGACTTTGGGCGAATTACTTGGCCTCTCTCTGCCTCACTTTCCTTGGGTGTCAGGCAGAATGGTTGTGATGAGGATTAAATGAGATTATGAACGTGAAACCCCAAGCACAGTGCTTGGCACAGAGGCTCCCAAAAGGGAGCGGCCATGACCGGGCGTGGTGAGTGCTCATCCTCCCCGCCCTAGCTCCTTGAGACCCAGGCCCAGCTCACACGCCCGGGACCCCTGGATTCTCCCAGGCTCCACGCCTGTGGCGTTCCCATCAGCCTGGGCGACATGGCTCAGACCACGCTGAAACCAGGAGGTTGAGCAAAAAGGGGCCCCTGGGCCCAGCTCTGTGGGGTGGGAGGTGTCTGTATTCCAGGGCTCTCTGAGCTCCATGGTGGGGTTCAGAGACAACACTGGGGACCCAGCGGACCTTAAAGATGGCGCCTGGGGGACCGGCCCTGTGGCCCAGTGGTTAATTTCGTGTGCTCTGCTTCCGAGGCCCAGGGTTTCACCAGTTCGAGTCCTGGGCGCAGACAAGGCACCGCTTGTCAGGCCATGGTGAGGCGGCATCCTACATGCCACAACTAGAAGGACCCACAACTAAAAATATACAACTATGGGGGTGGGGTCGGGGTTTGGGAGAAGAAGAAAAAGAAGATTGGCAACAGATGTTAGCTCAGTTGCCAATCTTTTAAAAAAAAAAAAAAGGCTGGCTGCCATCTTGTGCTCGCTCACTAGTTCATTTTGTGGGAAGCTGGAAAAAAAAACGCCACCTGAGACACGTCAGCTGAACCAATACCAGGGCCGACTTATCAACCAGGCACGGCAGAAACGAGGCCCACAGTATTTTTAAGGGCCTCCCAAAATGTTTTCATTTCTTTTAAAATCAGGAGGAAAACCCAACTTTTAGGACAGAAGAAGTGTTCCGTTGTTTTCTCACATCAGAAAAAATAAAATATTCAGAGCCCATGAAAATTTATTATGGGGGGGCCCCCCAAAAGTCATGCAGTGGCCCTGACCGATTCGTTATTTATTCAGACATATTTATTGGGTGGGGTGCTTTCTATCAGTTGTTGTTTGAGCCCTGCAATCTTGTCTTTTTAACTCAAAGGAGGAAGGTGAGGCTCATGGAGGGTAAATAAGTTGCCCACAACAGTGAGTTTCAAGGTAACAAAAGTGGAATTTGAACCCAGGTCCATCTGAGTCCAAACCCCTTTCTTCACTTTGTTGTTAGTGCTGGGGAGTCGATGTCAACTCCTAGCGACCCTGTGTCCAGCAGAGCGGAATCCTACCCTGTCTTTTTGTGCCATCCTCTCACCTTCCGGTGCTGTGTCAGACCACGTGCTACTGCTATTCGTAGGGTTTTCATGGCCAATTTTTTCAGAAGTGGGTGACCAGGTCCTTCTTCCTAGTGTGTCTTAGTCTGGAAGCTCCGCTGAAATCTGTCTACCACGGGCGACCCTGCTGGTATTTGAAATCCCGGTGGCACAGCTTTCAGCATCTCAGCAACACACAGCTGGCACAGTATGCCAACTGACAGACAGGTGGTAAGAGCACCCAGTGTTAACCACCGGGGCTGGCTTTTTCTTCGCTACACCACACTGTGTGTAAGTCATCGTTTTGTTTAGTTTAGTCGTTACAGCCTAAAGGCGGGACAATCACCCCCATTTGAAAGCTGTGGAAACTCAGGCCTGGAGAGAAGAAGGACGTGCCTTGCTCACAGTCCCGTGGCGAGTCAATGAAGGAGTCGGGAACAAGCCCCTCTTGACCCCCTCTCTACTGCCCCACTGCCCTGTGGTCCCCCCATCTCCACCCTCCGCCCTCGCTGTGGCCTCCTTCACCGCAGCCACGCTGCCCCCGGATGGCTCCCCGCCTTTCTTCCCACCTCCTTTTTGTCTGGTTTCCCAGCCTGTTGAGGGGCTGCTCATGCCTGTGCAACAGCCGCATCCCACCTCCTAACAAAGCTGGAGGCTGGCACTGCCACCCGAGAGGGAGGGGAGAAATCAGAGGCGGCAGGCCAGAGCAAGAGCAAAGGTTTACACGAAACTGTGGGTCCCCCAGACAAACGCCCCTCTGTATCTCAGGGCCTATTGTGACTGGCCGCCGGCCAGCTCTCACCGCGGACAGCTTGAAGGGCCCGGATTGTTCCCCACCTCCTGTCCTCTCTGCAGGCCAGCGCCTGCCAGGCCTGCGCTGGGGCAGGAAAGGGGAGGGGTGTTCCTTCTGGAATGGAGAGTGTGGGAGGCCAGCAAGCCTTGGGGAGAGTGAGGGGCCACAGCCTGTACCAAACCAGGAGACCGGGAGAGTCACCGATGAAAGGAGCGTGAGAGGGAGGGCCCTGGGGCCCAGCTGTGCATTTTGCAGGAGAGCAAACTGAAGTCCAGACAGAACAAGTGACTTGCCCAAGGTCACACAGCAAGTAAGTAAAAGAGGTAAGACTCGAACCCAGGACCCCTAGTTCCCAGCCCAGGGTTCTTGCCCCCCACAGCAGGCCTCTCTGTTGGGGTTTCGGTGGTGACCGTATTAAATAGGTGAGGTAGAGCTCTATAGACCAGGACATTGAGACTCAAAGAATGTCACATGTGAAGGTTGCAGTGTATTAATTTTCCTAGAGTTCCATGTTAAAGGGCAGGTGCTCCAGACAGAGTTTACGTCCTGGACTCATTAATTCCAAGCACTTCGAGGTTAGCCAAGCCCTAGAAAAGGCGGAGGGAGAGGCAGAGAATCAGGGGTGAGAGCGCTGAGGGTCAGCGTTGGGCTGAACCCAGATACGGGAGTTCCTAGGAGGCACTGGCCTCGGTTCCTAAAAATATAATAATAAGGAGCTACCCTAGAGCACTGGGGTCGGGACCCTTGGTCCCAAGGAGATTGCTGGCGCTCATTTGGGATAGGACATGCCTGTCCATGTGCACAAAACTCATTTACACCTACACGTTCTTGCTTCACTAGGTGGCCCCTGGAAGTAACCCAGGGAGCTCAGCCTGTGCCTTTTAGAAACTGGGCGCAGTTCCATCAGCAGGGGGGTTGAAAGCAGAGCTAAGGTGAGCGCATGGCCCCGGGGGGGTCTCGCTTATCACTCACCAGCCCCGGTTCTTGTAGGGTTGGTTTGGTTCTTGCTGCTGTTGTGACTGAATGAGAAGGGGGTTCTTGAAAACGTACCAAGTGGTCTGCCAATGAACCTTCCTCTCTCTGGCTGCCCCTGGGTGCCTCACAGGCCCTCAGTTTCCCCATTTGTCAGGAGAGGGCCGTGGACACACAGCAGTCTTCAGACTGGGTTCCGCAGAATCCTGTGATCACAGGCGTTGCCAGCACAGAGGGCGTGGGGACTGGTGGAGGAGAAATGGTGGGGGTGGAGTAGGAGGGAGGAGTCTGGTTCCTTAAGTCTTTTGGAGGAGCTTAGTTTATCATGAATTCATCCCCCAAACTCTCCAACAGAAGGATCCATCTCCTTTCAGTCTGGACAAACACAGCAGAATATCTACCGCTTGCATTTTTTTCGTGGCTGGCAAAATCCCCCTGCGCCTCCCGCCTCCCCTGAGTTGGACTGGTTACCCTCCTGGCTGCTGCAGGGCGCAGCCCCGGGCACCCCCGGTCCCTGGATCCAGCGGGGGCGGGTCCTCCAGAAGCTGCCCAGGAAAAGGTGCATGGGGTGGTGTGGATTTTTTTGAAGCCTTGTGTGTCCGAAAATGTCTTCTATCCTCACACTCAATATTTAGTTTGGCTCGCTGTACACTTCTAGGCTGGAAATTATTTCCCCTCAGAATTTTGGAGAGTTGTCTCAGAGCGTCTAGTGCTGCTGCTGTCAAATCCACTGCCATTCTGATTTCATCTGATTGTTGATCCTTTTATTTGTATTTGACCCCATTTAAAAAAAAATTTTATGGCCGTGTGTAGGATATTCTCTTTATGCCCTGTGTTCCGAGAAGTCATATGATGAGTCCTATTGTGGGTCTTTTTTATTCATTGTTCTGGGACTCAGAGGGTCCTCTCATTCTGAAAATTCTACGTCCTTTGTTTCTGGGAAATTTTCAGGTATCCTGTGCTTGATCGTTTCCTCCCTGGCTTCGATTTTCTCTGCTTAGTCACTTCTGGAATTCTTGTTATTAGGATGTTGGTCCTCCTGGAGTCATCTGTTTTCACCTTTTTCTCTCTCAATCTTTTTTGTTCCCTTTTATGAGACGTTTTCTCAACCATCTTCTAACTTTTCTATTGAATTTTTTATTTCTTTCATCAAATTTTTATTTCCAAGCACCCTTTCTTATTCTCAAAATATTCTTTTCTTATAGCATCCTGTTCTTGTTTTATAGGTGTAGTGTCTCGTCTCTCTGAGGATGCTGAAGTTTTCTTCTGCTATTTGTGTTGCCTCTTTGCTTTAAATACCTCCCTTTGTTCATTTGTTTTGTTTGCTGTTTGTTCATTGCATGTGAGCCTTTTACCCCCAAAGGTCCATTGACTCTGGCCATCTGTTCCTATTTAAGAGTAAGGTGCTAAAAAGCTCATTGAAAACAAAAGTTCATGGGAAGCTCTGGGTGTGGGCTGGGCTTGTCAACTAGCAGCCTCCCATAGGCCGATGGGCAGGAATCTCATCATTTCATTGGGGGATTCTCTACCATCAGTAGCGTCTGTACTTCTGTTCTCTTTGGCTAATCAATCTCCCCAGAGCCTCCTCTCTAATTTGCTGCCTGGAGGTTGGAGCCCGGCTCTGGGAGTTATGGCAGCCCAGGTGGTTCAGGGGCCTGGCTGAGCCCCACCAGGCAGGATTTAGACTTTCCCTGAACTCCATTTTCAGCCAGAGGTTAACCACTGCCTTCTGCCATTTCCCCTGAGTCTCAAAGCCAAATGTGCCCATGGATCGCTTGGGGATCTGGCTAAAATGCATATTCTCATTCGGCAGGTCTGAATGGAGCCTTGGATTCTGCATTCCTAACAAGGTCCCCAGAGTTGCCAATCCAAGGACCACACTTTGGATGGCCAAGGTCTGGAGCAGCGCTGTCCAATAAAACCTTATGCAAAGGTGGACACATTCTAGACCTGCACTGACCAATGTGGGAGCCATAGGCCACTGGGCACATGATGCCTTGAGATGTGGCTTGTGCGACTGGGGCACTGAACTTTTACTTGTATTTAATTTTACTTAATTATCATTTAAAAGTAGATGGCCACGTGTGGCTGTCACCTTGGGCAGGGAGAGTCCCCCTCCTGATTCGCTCTGTACAGGGTGAATTTACTGGATCCTGCAGGATGGAGGAGTCCTGCGGCTGGGAGGGCAGATGGAGGGGGTGGAGGTGCTGACCTAAGCAAAGAAAACAGCCAGTTATTTTACCAGCAAAATGGGTTCATTCGGGAATAGCAAGGGAATTGCAATTTGAGACAAGCCAGCTATAGCAAAAGCCATAGGCAAGTCCAGCAAACAAAGGAGAGGAACCTTACTTTATAGAGAAGATGCAGGAAGTAGGGAGGGGTCGTTTTGAATGAAAATCCTTTGGTGGAAAGCGAGAGCTCAGCTTCACGAGGGTTTCTCTCAGCTGAGTGGCGGCAAGGAGGTCATCTTCCTGCCTCCTGCTGGGGTGGTAATGGATGTCTTCCTGTTTGGGGTCTGTAATCGACATGGAGTGGTAGCGTGTGAGGGCTCCCCCTTCTGGCCTCCCAACCTCTTTAAATGGTGTTTCCTTTATTCTGTTTCGCTGAAGGGATGGAGGGAATGGGATTAAGCTGCTCCTTTTACACACTTTTGTCTTCCTCTTTTCAGCCCCATGTGGCATCTTGACTTTTAGGGGCATCTCTTGCCACCCGTTCCTGAGTCTTCCTGGGGTTTCTTCAGTGCGATCAGCTTTCATGGGTTTCCCCAGTCTGCAGGTTTGAGCCTCAGCCTTTTCCAGGCTGCTAAGTCACGCTCAGCCATCTGCTCTTCCAGATTGGCCTCTCTCCCGTGTGGTCGTCTTCTCTCCCCTTCCCTTTAGCCTTGTGGGTTTGTACGTCTTGATTCCTTTACTGTCTTCGTGAGGGATTTCAGGAGGAAGCAGAGATGAATACTTGTGTTCCATCTGTGTTTCACCAGAAGTCCCTCTTGGATTTTTTAAAAGGATCCCAAACTGTGTTTCTCCCAAGGTGAGGCAAACCGGAATTTATCCTTCTTCCCTGTAGTTTTCCTGCGGGCCAGGAGATTTGTTGTGCCCAGGAGCCCAGGGCACCCATTCCTGAACCACTGCAGAGCCTGAGAGCTGCTGGAGGAGGGGAGAGGGAGAGCCAGGCTGACCCACCCGGTGTGGTTCCTCTGTTCTGTAAAGGGGTTGATGGGCTCACGCAGGGGCCAGGCAGCGCAAGGGCATCCTCTCAAACCAGAGCTGAGCAGGGACGGACTTACAAAACGGAAGACGTTCTAAGCCCTTGGCAGCGAGGAGATTTGGAAAGGAAAAATTGAGAAGGATTACCAGTTAACTGGGCAAGTAGATCCCACAGATGGGACCAGATCCTGGCTGGCTGGGGCTGGAGGGGTGGTCCTTCAGGATGGATGCCCTGCAGATCGATTTGTAGTTAGGTTGGAGGTAGGTGCTGAGACTTCCATGAAATCAGCTTGTGCAGCGGGGAAGGAATCAGGCCCACCGGTTGCCTCCTGAGCCCACTCCCCATGCCCCACCCTAGCCCCAGCTGGCCCAGTGTTTCCAGGACTCTTTCTCTGCTCCTCTCTCACCATACTTCTCATAGTGGGCCCGCGCCTACCACTCCTTGGACGTGTCTGATCAACCTCCGCGTCCCCCGCAGCCTATGGGATGTGTCTGTTCGGGCAGGAGAGGGGAGGCAGGAATGAATTGAGTATAAACCTCGGGGTCAGACAGATAAGAGTCTAAATCCTATATGTTAGGCTGAATAATGGGCTCCTCACAAAAGATACCCACATCCTGATCCCCCAAAGCTGTGACTATGTGACCTTACATGGCAAAAAGGACTTTGCAGAAGTGATTAAGTGAAGGATTTTGAGATGGGGAGATTATCCTGGATTACCTGGGTGGGGCCACTGGAATCACAAGGGTCCTTATAGGAGGGAGGTGGGAGAGTCAGAGAGAGAGAAAGACATGACGATGGAAGCAGAGGTCAGAGAGAGATGGAAGATGCTACACTGTTAGCTTGAAGATGGAGGAAGGGGCCACAGGCTAAGGAATGCAGCTGGCCTGCAGAAGCTAGAAATGGCAAGGAAACAGTCTCCCCTAGAGCCTCCGAAAGCAACACGGCCCTGCCAACACCTTGATTTTAGCCCAGGGACACTAACTTCAGACGTGTGACCTCTAGCACTGTAGGAAAATAAATTTGTCTTGTTTTAAAGCATTAAGTTTGTGGTAATCTGTTACAGCAGACATGGGACTCTAACGCATCCTAGCTCTGCTGTATCTTAGCACCAAGACCTTGGGCGAGTTACCTAAGCTCTCTGAGCCTT